TGATTCTTCACAGTCCCATTTAATATAAGCAACAGTACAGAAAGCAGTTAATGGCACAGCAAAGGGAATAGAAAACTTGAAATACTCCAGACGAGTTGACATTCTGTACCTTCTGTAAGGCACTGAAATGTCAGCATTATTAATCCCTGTCTAGTTTTTTATATTATCCCGAAAAGTCATGCAGAAAAGTGACATGTAATATTTTAACATCTTCCAATATAGCCTCATCTGCTTGAAATATACTACAGGATAATAGACTTTTTAATTGTATCCTGATAACTATACAATAAAACATCATGTATGATATTTATAGTTGTATTATAAGAGTCAGACTATCGTATGTGGGATTGGGGAAGATACTAAAATGTGCAGTATACAATTACAGCGTTTTCCTAACAGACTATTTGCACAACAGGGCATTATTATCCCAATAGGGTATTTCCAACAATATGCCTTAGAATTATAGAAAAATTACATGCTTTCTCAGCAGTATTTCCACAATCTCGGGTTTTACAACTCTTCAGTGCTTTCAAATTTTTAACTTACTATTTTAAATTGTTTGCACAGGAATTCTCAAGGTTTCACAAGGAAATTACACCTATGTTTGACGGTCTTCAAAACAACAGGGTTGAATGGAAAACACGAGCTGATGAATATGACGAGAAGATGAAAGCTATTGAGGAACAAAAGAAAAAGGAAGAAGAAGCAGCAGCCCAAAAAGGTTAAGTAACTTCTTAGATTTTCATTTATATATATTTGTAAGGCAGTCAACGTATTCTCTCTCTCTCTCAAATTCACACACACAGTTCACTTGTGCAATATTCTACTAAACTTTATACTAATGGTATGCAAGTCCTCAATTTGCTAAATTAGCTCTACTTTTACTTGGAAGAGGAGTAAACTCTAAAGGTGACACAAATCCAGTATGTTGACCTCAATTTTCTAAACTGCATGATTATATAAAATATGACCATCAAAAAAGTGAAGGGAAAGTAAAATTTCTTTTGCCTAAAGACTTAAAATTGAATGTAATGAACTTGAAATACTAGAGATGTATTAAAATTCTGTGTGGCACCAGCCCCAAATGTATTCAAGTGCTTTGTTTAAGCTGAAAATGAAAAACATAAGGGAATGGAGGGTGTGCATTTGGGACATAAAAAAGCAGTGCAAATCCCCAATTCTCTTCCAAGTTTAAGATAAAGCTTTGGGCTCTAGTTCCCTACCACGAGTTTCTTGGCTGAGATACACTCTCTCATATTACAAATTTAACACTAATCTTCCAAAGACAGTCCAAGAAGTCCTAAAACTGAAAGCATGGTTCTGCTTATCCTAACCTAGAAGAGAATCTGATTTTACAGAAACTGAGAACCTATCACTCAAGTGTAAGAGCCAAATGAGTCAGTTATTTTTATTCTGTAATGCATGTGGAACAGCAGGTCAATAGCTCTGCCAATCAACTGAGATGACTGACAAGGTTGAGATTAAAACAAAACCATGTGTGATTAAGCCAGAGTGATTGCCAGCTAATTTGAAGAAGAAAAGTTAGTCTGTGTTTCACATTTTTAAAGCATAAACCAGTACTGAATAATTTATTTGTTTATCAGTGTCTGTGGGAAATAGGTGAGTATTCTTCACATTTCACACAAAAGAGAGGCTACTCAAGGCCACCCACCACTGTCAGTGTGTGAAGTGGAACCAGAATTATTGCCTCCTAAAAAAACAGATACCAGGTTAAAATAAAATTAAAAAAAAAAAAAGTTATTGCAAAGTGGTTTAAAAAGTACTGTAAATTACATGATTTAATCAAAGCAGATTTTTGGAAAAGTTTAATAAAATGAGTCAAGTATTTTGGCCTGCTCATGCCGATACCACTTACGCACACTTTCACAGCAATTACACCCTCCAAATTGTTTCCCAAATTTATTTTCCATGACACTTTTTTTTCCCTTGAACTTACTCATATAGTTTTATTTAAGATTAATTTATTGCTGAGAACCAGCTGGTTGTCAGTATGTAAAAAGTATTCTTTCCCTTACACTGGAATGTAAGCATCTGAACTTCACAGAAGTATCAGCAAGACAAAATAAAACAACCTGGGATCTCCTTATTCAACTTTGAACCTCCTTACATATTTGCTTTCTTGGCAAAGAGTATAGTTACTAAAGTCAGAGCCCATGCCCTTAAGCATAAGCTCCTTAAATAAAAATGAAATAATACTTCTAGGAAGATTTGGGTATTTCTACTCTCACTTGAAGTTAGGACCATCTTAGAACACTGGTATTTTGGAATCACTTAAGTCACTGACTTAGGAAGTATTTTCCCACAGGGAAAACAGCCAAGCTCTTTGCAGAAGCCAAAGATCTGGCCTTTGCATAGAATAACTGGCATCCCAAAAAGAAAGGGAATTATACTGCATCTTTTTAAACACACACTGGAATGAGGCCATGCACATTTGTGAAGAATAGATGTGACACTGTCAAATCAAGGCCAAGTAAATATATGGGTTTGCTAAGTTAGTTCATACAAATAAGAATTTGATACATGCTGAACCATGGTGGTTTCTCTAGATCACACTGACCAGGCTATTCTTAGACATTCAGTAGACAAAAAACAAAATAAACATGTTTGCTGAACCACTACAGTGGAAAGTTCAGAACAGAAAGCAGAACAGAGTATTAAACTGAGAAAATCAAATATATAGTTAGTAACATAGTGTTAATTATATCCACAAATTACAGAGGGTAGGACACTGATCATGTGACATGTTTCAATGCAGGTGGAAAGGGTCGAAAATGACCTAGTAACATGGTGATCCACAGCTTTCAAATGTAAGTTTTAATTCTAATATTGGTATCTTACCTTAAATGAACCTGGAAAAGCAATTTATTACATTGAAAGAATCTTAACTATGACCAATGAACATCTGTGGAATCATTTGAGAGAGATAGTAACAGAATCAGTAGCTACAGATAAAAATATAAAAACCATCTCTCTCTCTTAACCAGTAATTACAAAGGGATTCACGCAGGGTTGGATAAAGGTTTATGTAATTAGGTCAAATTAAAGTTTTTGTATCATCTGCTTCAAAAATAGATTCACAGATTATATTGATCCAAGAGTTCCTTTCTTTTGCATGGCTTGCATTCCTCAGTTTTGTATGTGTGGGACAGTCATATATACTTGACTGCTGAAACTTTCCAGTAAGAGTGGTTCAGTGTGTGTTTGGTCCTTTGCGAAATGTTGGTATCCACTCCTACACTATATGCACATATGTATATATAAAGTGTCATTGTTTCATATTTCTATTTCCCAGACAAGCAGTGAAATTTCAGAAGGTCAAACACACACAATATGCATAAAACAAAGGCAACACCTCTACAGCAAGAAATTAAAGCAGCTAAAATTAACAGAAAATACTCACTTTACTTTTCTTATCTGTTTTTTAGCAGAAAATCCAGCAGCCGAAGAACCAAAATCCAAAACATGTGTAGTTTTGTAATTCTTTGTCTCAGACACTGTTCCTGCTACAGAAAAGACATCTAGAAAGAACTTCAATGAACCGCAGTGGATTTCTGCTTTGCATAGAATAGTATATAGATTGATCTCTTAACAATCCTCTTAAAACATTTGCCATTTGTTGGAAATAATTTTTAATGAAGTAAAAAAATGGTTACAATTAAAAACTGAAAATAATAACAGTGTGAACTGTGCACTCTAGGTATTTCTCCATGTCACTCAATTTACATAAAGAATTTTTATTAAAATAGGTCATTCTGCACACTGTCCAGAAAAAATGCAATTTTTGGCAGATCTATGAAATTATGGAATGAAAGCTCATGTGTACAATTCAAACAAAAAATCCAACTTTTGCTACTTGTATATTTAGATTTTTATATTAGGTGTCTTTCCTTAATCTGGAATTCCATCTTTTTCCTTCATTCCCAATACCATATAAAGTTCTAGAGTAAACATCTCCTTCACTTTAGGAATGCTCAACACAATTCCCTGGCTCTATTTATAAAAAGGAGTGTGTTTTTTCAAAAACACTGTGTTTTTTCAAAATTACCAAGGATAAATCTGTAAATTGTAGCCATCACTCAGAAAAACCACTCTTGATTGTATGCAAATGGCTCTTCCACAGTTCCCCAACTTGCCACCTTTTATTGTAAAAATCTAAAATCTAAAATAGCAGACCATAAACATACTTTACATACAAGTGAGAGTTAACTAAGATACCAGCATGTCCACAGTAGAGTCTACATTCAAAAGCATTTTAAAAGGCTCTCATACTCCCAATGTACCCTTTTAAAAATGCAATAAATTAAAAGTATTTGATAACCAATTAGTTGGCAACAATTTAATAATGAAAAGGGAAAGAAAAGCAGAGGCAGAGCACATTAGAATTCATATTACCTTTCTCTCTGCTACCAAGAGACAGACTTCACACAAATTAGCTCCTCATAAAAAATTAAGAGCTACCAAAACCTGTTTTTGGACAATGACAGTCCACTCCATACATTCTACTCAGGTCTCACAAAGTCAGCTCCTCCTGCAGATGCAGGAGGGGAAACGGCTGGTGTATTATGCACAGATCTGAGTATTCACTGGAACTGGTTCCAAATCTAAGGAGATGGATGTCAAATGCAATTCCTGCAATAAGCAAATTCCACATGCAGACTCAATCCTGCCACTTTTCCTCTCCCATTAAACGAAGAACACCCATACTTTTTTTCCCCCTCTGAAGGGCCCTCAGTATTCACAGAGAAGGGAGAATGAGTGAATTGATCTATATAAACCTTTCTAAGCATGCTCTATAAACAGAGATATTATGTAAAATTATCACTCAAAATTAAAGGAATACACAAAAAAACTCCAAACACTTAAAACATTCTGACTTATAAATGAGCCAAATATTTTATGCAAACAGTTATGACATAAAACTGGGTATCATGTGTTATTTTCTGTATTAAATGCAGCTACTAAAGAAAACTATTTCAAGGTTGTTTGATAATGTAATTTTATTCAAACTGTATTAAATTATGTATTTACTATGTATACTGTAAATTTTTATAACTGTATTTTAAAGACTCAAAGAGGAGTTAGTTATCCAGAACACATACTTAATATGCAATACTTGAAGCAACAAATATAGCAATGCATTCGACCAAAGCCCCTTTGGGCAAGTTGCACATGTGTAAGCAGATTGCTGCAGATTGGATTTGACTCTCAACCAAGCTTGCAAGATGACAGAGAATTAACCTTTAAATCCACCTTCTTACCTAAAGAAGCCTTCATGCAAGGATACGTTTATTTCTTACTCAAGGACACCCTAAATACGTCCTTGTACTGTCATCTATTATGTAAGTACAAACTGTTTAAAGTGTAATTTTATTAAGTAATACCTTGTAAATAGAGTTCTCAACTTATTCATATGAGTGCATGTAAAATGTTCATAAATATACTGCAACCATCTCTGCTGTTCCATTTTCCACATTGAATGCTTACTATAAATACTTTCTATACATATATCTACAGTGAGAAGTACTTATCAAAAGATTTATTTTATACAACAGTAGTTTTCCTCAGAATAACAAGAAAATTTAATTTAAAAAAGTTTGTTCCTCATATCCAAAGTAATTTTCACTTGACAGAAAAAAATACCCACTGTACTTATTCATGTGCAGACTGTTTCTTGTGAAACAGAACCAAATGAATCTTTAAAGATATGCTGCACTTTGAAGAGGTAGAAGAATCCAGTAAGTTTCTCAAGCAATATACATGCTTTACTTGTATATTTAGGATTACACTTTAAAGAAGGATTAACATTCAATTAATGGAAAGGAGATCAGAAGCCACAGATAACATAAAAGTCACATGTACATCTCCGGTAGAAAGCCACACACATATGTTCTACATCAAAAATTTCACCAACAACCAAATTTTCAAAAACGGTATTATAAGACACATCACATTTTAGTTAAAATTTAAAACAAGGTCACAATAAAATGGGAGACATTTCACAAACAATTTACTTAATTCAAGCAGATTACATACTGGATAAAATTTGAACTTCTCCAATAGCACTTGAAAATACTTACAGAGACTAATACCTGAATATTAAAGTCTACATGACCAATAAATTTAAGGCCATTAACTCTTGCTAAATAAATAAAAAATACAAAAAAATTAAAGTGTATGACTTTAAACTACTCACAAAGACTTATAAATACTCCTTTATAAAAATCTGACAATAACTGAAGTTCGGGATAAAATAAAAAGCAGTGAAGTTCCGTGATGTAATGTCAATAAACCATATTGTTTGTTTAAGTCTGGGTGCCATATATCTTTTGCACTGAAAAAGTTATTTCTCTTGTTTCACGAGTACACAGCCTAACGTGAAATAAAGGTTTTAGATTTGAAGCCTTCCACAGAGATCATCTACCCAAATGGTTCATATGAGTGACTGCAGAAAAAGTATACTGGCAGAAAGAGGTCTCTGAGAAATTATGACTAGATTTCCAGACTTCCATCTTGACAATTCATGAAGAAAGTCAGCCTACATCAATTTCAAGGTTTAGAGAAACAAGTCTTGAAAATACTCATCAAACTCCTCCTCCCTGTAAGAACAACAACAACAACAAAAATGTCAAAGACAGTTCTGCTTTGGATCTTTACCTAGGACATAACCTTTGTATGAAAAATATTTAGCAAACTTCTTCCTATATATAATTTTGAATTATTCCAATACACTTCACAATTATTCAACTGACTGAGCTGATTGCTAGGATTTACTTCTAAAAGAATTAACGTTATAGTAGGAGGTAAGACAGCAGTGGTATCAGTGGCTTGAGAAAGGTTTTCCTCCAGAGTTGTGTATGACTCCTCCTTAAAAACACATTCTTAGGTTAGCATGGAAAGAGATTTGACATAACTTTAAATGTCAGACTGTTCATCGAAACACTCAAGAAAAATCTCTGCCTTTGCAGTTCTGAATGGACACTGTACATTTTATCAGCTACAAGTTCACAGGATCAAACTAACCGTGATTTTTCATCTGCACTTTGTAGAGGACCTTTCCAAATGTCAGCATCTGAAGGACCATCTTCTGCATCACTGTTATCAGAATCTGTTAAAAAATTTAGAGTGTATATGAAATAAATTTTAAAATAATTCATCCTTTTTTTTTTTTACTTAGATGGCATATTACTAGGAGCAATGTTTAATTGCAATTATGAGAATGAACACGAGACATTACCTTGCATAGAGTGAAAATAACAATGTAGCAACAAAAAGATTTTTAGATACCATGAACTACTGTTTTGACCAAACATAACAATCGTGTGAAAACACTGCTCTTGACACAACAGCAGCATAGTATTTTGTTCCTAAAATTAAACAATCACAAACCCAGAATTAGAATACAGTTTCAATTAATGACATTAAATGGATCAATTACCTTACTTCTACTTAAATGATTATTTCTACCCATTGTGACTTACCAGTGAAATTGTCAGAAAACACGGATTACTGCATAACTGTTTTGTGTAAGTATACAGGAGTGAAAACTCGTATCAGAAATACGCACTGACCTAGGAAAAAATGATCTTCCAATAAAGCTTTCCTGGCAAAACAGAAACTTTGGGCATGGTCCAAGTCATAAGAAAACTGCTTCAGGTCTTCCTGTATCTAACTGGGAAAATCTGAAGCCTCAAGACATCCTTAAAAACGTACAGCAGAGCAGAGCAATCAGTAGAAACACTCAATCCCTTCTAGACAGTCTGCAGCAAGAACTGGCATGACCAGGAGATGGGGCTTGTTTCTTCAAAAAGAAACTGGAGACTGGAATTACTGAGCTACAGAGACAACCAGTGCCTAAAGAGTTACTGAGACTGAGTGCTCGTGCAACAAGTAGGTCTCTGAGGTACTACTGGTGGCAGCTGGAAAAAGCTTTATTAAAGCCTAGAATTTATTTTAAATCTTTTTTTTTTTGAGTAGAGTCAGTATATCAGTATAATTCTATGAAGAAAAATGTAATAGTACTTTCCTTACACAGCACATATTTGCATACCTTGACCCATGCAATTAATAATGTACCTATTTTTGCATCCTCTACTCTTTTCTGGAACAGTCTGACCTCTCATTTTTCTGATCATTTCCATTCTGTTATCTGCCCACATTTTCATTCTTTGCTTAAACAATTTCCTTCTTAAAATTCCCTACAGTTTTTCTCCAAGACATGTAACTAATTCATTTGAACCTTCGTATTTGCTTGCACAAAGAATTTTTATTTTATAAAATATTAAAGGAGACAAATAACACTAAGATCAATGACAAATGTCTATGAAATAATACAACATATTACAAAAACATAAGAGATATTAAAATACTTTACCTTTATCAGAATTATCTGAATCTTCTGAAGAAACCTGATCTGTAAAGAAGCACCAAAATAGAAAAAAAAAAAAAAAAAGTGAGCTTACCTTGGTTATCTGTTATCTTAAATTGTTCACAAAGCTATTTCTATCACAATGTATTACACACAAACATGTACCACATGCATGCACACAACACACTCAAAGAAAGCAAGTAAACACTGAATAGAAGGACTTTTTTTTTTTTCATGAATGCAAAGGTCTCAGTTTTAGTTCAGTTATGTTATCACGAGATCTGTGGTGTAAAAAGGTTATCTAACATTTCCAAAAGGCTTTCAACCCCAAAGCTTCATGGAATGAAATACTTCACAACCCTTTCTTGTATGCAATGTCTAATTCTTGGACAAATTTTCCTTGTAATGCATATTCTTCAAAACGCTCTCCCTCTCTGCTACATGTAAGAAATTTCTCTCTTTTTTGCATCAAGGAAATTTTACCTCAGAAATTAGTCTTTTTGACTACCTGTGTTAGAATCAAGAAAGTTACATATCTCTATGTATAACTAAATGTATTTATCTATACATAATTATACATCTATATCTACACAGTTATAGCAGAACTAAGGTTCAACTAACACATTATCATATTTTAATAACTGAAGGTTTAAAGCTTAAATGTACCTTTATGGGTCTTTTTTTTGGACTTCTTTTTTGCTGAACGAGATAATTTTGTCTTCTTATTTTTTGGCTCTTCAGAGTTCTGTACAGCTGTGCCTCCTTTCTTGTGTGTTTTGACTTCTTTCCTCCTTCAAAAAAGATGAATGTATACCTTCTCTATTATATGTACTTCTTATGCAACAGGAAATCTGAAGCATTTATTTCAGTCAAACAGTTGTAATTTTTTCAGAAACCTACCAGTAGTTAAACTGAAAAAAATTAATTTGGTTAAAAGGAAAAGTGCCATAGAAACACAAGACCTCTATAGATGAAGGCAAAGGATAGAAGATGCTAAACTCACTAATATGACACTGATACAACAAAAACAATGAATTGGCAAACAAACATTAAATACAGAAAACAATTTTATAACATGCCAAATTCTTACTTGAGTTTTTTTCTTTTAGCAAACTACTTTGTATATATGTAATGAGAAAAACACAGTTAATACACATTTTAAAATATATTTTCATATTTGATAGCAACAAAACCTGAGGTAGAGGACTCTCAAGTGTAAGAAGCTGCTTCAAACAACCAAGCCATGTGTTTTATTTTTAGCATTACTTATACTGGCTTGTTGTAAGAACATAGGCTAACTTTTTCCTGCTTCTTTGTACAAAGAGTGAAATTGTTTCCAGGTAAGTATTACTCTGGAACAGTCAAAATGTGTGACCATGCCTATTCAGAACTCCAGTGGTTTTATGACTTTAGTTCCAAAAATCAAGACAGATCAAACTAATCTCAGTTAATTAATTATCCTTCCTAATATCTGTCTGCACAGTGCTCAAGTGAATTTCAGTATAAATTAACTTTCAAAATGGATTAACTACTAGATGCACATTTGATTTGTGTTACTTTAGAAAAGAAATCGTTGTTTCCTGGCTCAGAGGTTTGCCTTTCATATGCTTTGCAGATAGTTGTATGGGTTAATTACTGAGACATACAACTAAGTTAATGCCACATCAAAATTAAAAATTCATAAAACCTGAGTGTCAATGGTTGTTGAATTCAGTAAGATTACAGATAGTATATAAAAAACAAATTTAAAAAAAAAAATCTAATCTTAATGCACACATTTTTTAGGTTCAAAATACACTGTTTTTCTCTCCTATTAATAAGTGATTCTCAAAGAAGAACAAATATTCAAATTCAAACTTTCCAAGCACAGTCACTTGACTCACACACAAACCCACTATTTTCAGTAAAAAAAAAGCATTTCAGCTCTGAAACACAGCAAGTGGGAAAATTTTAAAAAGTGTTTCGCATGAATGTTCAGATAAGAAAAATAGTCACTGGGCTGAATTTAAGCAAATGAAACTTCTGTGGAGGTAGAGATTCTTCCAGTTTGAGGGGTTTTGCCCTTTCGTTAGCACAATCCCTGACTCTCAACAGGGTGAGTCACAAGTCAGTGACTTTATAAGAACTACAGAACATTTATGCTATTTCAGCATAAATGAAGTTCCTAACCATCTAGCTGAAGTCTTTCCCCTATCTGCTCTTCATCATAACTGTAACCTATCAATAATTCACCCCCCATATTTTCAAAATATTTCATTACCGGTGATGAAAGTTTAGTTTGTAGGAACATTCTGGACACAGTCCTGAAAAACAGAAAGCAAGAACATTGCAGCTGTTATTCTGATAAGCTTAATTAACAAAACTTAGAAGTAGATCTTTCAGTAGCTTTTCCTTTAAAACTGTAGTTACAATGTAATTGCAGCCAGGATTTAGAAAAATACCACAATGAGATTCTTCAGTACAAACCCAGATTTTACTAAACCTGGAGAAAGATCACAGGTTTAGCACTGGCAACTATTCATTAAAACAGTATCAGTGCTTATCATGTACAAACATCCCATTTTATGGATCTTTGTGGACAGATCAAATTGTTCTACACTAACATTGAAGACTCACAACTGTCTTAGAGCTTTGCCAGAGACCCAGTGCTCCAACATGGATTGTCTTGTGCACAAAAGAAAAAAAAACCACACCATTAGCTTGTTTTACACAAATTAATTGTGTAAACTGTGGTAAGTTTAATTATCTGATGAATGTATTAAAATGTACACAACACTGAATAAGAAAATCCCAGTCAAGGTGCAAGAATGGAAAAGAAATTATTTAACTGAAGAACTTTTGTAAGAAAACGTAAATATTAAAATCAGTAGAGCTGAAGGTGTGCAAGAAGTTGTCTGGTTCAAAATCCTAAGGACTCCTAATCCAAGTAACTAAATGAGCAATGACAATGCTGAAATCCTCCCTTCGTGTTGTATTGTCCATTAAAACTAGACATACCTATATACAAAAAACCTTATAATTGATTATTCTAATTTTATGACACCACCCAGTACAAAGTGGCCACTCTGCAACAACTTCATCATACATAATAATAACAGCTGTTCTTTCTAAATCAAGACCATCATACTACCACCCAGGATTAAGAAAATCATATCCTATTCAGCATTTTTCACTCTGCATGAAGGAATATCATTATCACTGAGTCTTGTTTGATGGCTTTTAAAGCACAAGATACTTGTCTTCTTCCAACTGTACATATCCTTGAAAGGTTCACTTACGCAACTTCACAAGTGCATTCCTCTTCTCACCATGTTCAATGTAACCAAAATTCACCTCCCAGCTCTTCAGGCCTTCTTGCTCATCACAGTGCTTATTTCCACAAGAAAACTGACCTGTAAAGAGGTCAAAACCAGCAAAGTGTGATTCAGTGATTAACATGCATAGGTTTAGGTTTGTTATTTTCAGTTTTCCTCAGTTTTTGCTTTTATGTTTCATTTCTTTCAAATAAAAAAGAGCACAAATCTAAAAATAACATCTGGTGTAAGGAAACAATAACAGAGAACAACAAAGCAATCAATCAATCAAACTTGCCTATATGCCTATCTAACCGGAACTGTTTTGGAATGTATGGATGAAGATATGCTAAGAAATAATAAGCCTAACAATGAACTCTGAAAAAACGAATGTTACTACAATACATTCTATACCCTAAATAATTACATACTTAGTAGAGGATGATGGATCAGGAAGTGTGATGCAGACATGCATCTTTAATAACACCAAACCACTGAAAGTATCATGTACATACCAAATGAAGATGTCCACATTCTTATTGCCTAGCTAATTTACCTGATATACTTGACGTACAATTTGTATTCTAATGACTTTCCATAAACACCTTTGTTTCAAGAAAAGGAAATCCAATTTTGTGAGAAATGATAAGTCAGCTTTAAAAGCTTCCTTCAGATCATTATGTGAAAGGCAACACTGATTTTAAAGCAATCTGTACATAATCAAAGTTGTTTACACCACTGACTTCCTAATATTGGAGAAATAAAGATACATATATTCCTTTTGCAGATTTGTATACAGGGCTGGTAGAAGGGATGTGAAGGATGTGTATTAATAGGCTCACAAGCAGGACTGCTGGTGAACGATTAACCTCAGAAAATTCTGCTTAAGCTGCTAACTAGTGGATTGGCAGTGTCCTCATATACTTCAGTTCTGCAATGAAACACCACTTGCAATGTGAACATTTGAAGGCACCAGCAGTGGTTCTCATCACCACTACTACTGACACAGCTAAAATAAGTACATACAATGCGAAGTATAAGAAAGGTAGTTAATAATGTTTTAATAGATTTGAGTAAATCAATTTATATTGCTGATTTATATTTAAAAATAGAATTAAAGACCCACGCCTTTATTAAAGGATCGTTTAGAACCGCACTCGGGAAGAGAGTCCGACACCCGTAAGCGCGCTGGGTTCTCACGCCCTCCAGTGGTGGAAGGGAGGATTTATCAATTCTTATATTCCATTGACGCTTTAAATCAGCATTCTATTAAAAAGCTTGAAACATGCAATTCTGCACTCCCTGCCACATTTTAAAATACGGAGTACCAGGTATTAAAATTACAATGCAGCTTTAAATTATTTTCCCTCATGAAGACATAAAAATAATTTATTTCTCATTTAATTTTAATTATCTTTTTAAAGCATTCAATAAAGCACCCACCAAATGTAACTATCTGGTAACTTAATCTGTAGTGCTGAATGCAACATATTACTACAACTACCTTTAGAAGTTCTAATCTTTATAGCTTAAAAATCCCACAATTAATGTTCACACTTCCTAACATGAAATATATATTTTTAAAAACATATTTTATTTTTAACTTTCTGTAGTATATTAATATATAATAATATATATAATAGAGCTGTTGACAGCAAACAGCTCTCTACAGAACTGTAACTGAGCGATACTGAGCAACAGCATCACCCCATATGATTTTTCTTGTGTGTGCATCCACAACTTCGGAAAACTGCACATGTATGAGGATCCACCCACAGGAAGAGCAATACATTCACCTCATTTTCTTGCTGGTTCAGCAACTTGAAAATGCCCAAGCACTTTGGCCATGGAATGGGAATCACTGTGCAAGGTCCCAGAATTCACACATAGAATTAACCTGCTGATTTAGAAACAGGATTGGCAGACATGATAACCTTTCCTACTATTCCCACTGAGGTTTTCAATTCCAATTTAGCCTCAAACAGACATCACAAAAGAAACTTTGATTAAAAAGTTAACCTTTTGCAGAACAGCACTGGAGAAACTATTAATAAATAATTTCCTGAGGAAAAGTACTGAGACACTTCAATTAAGAGTATTCTACAGTATCAAATGCATTATGGTGGTGTTCGTTACAAATCTGGCCTTGTGAAAATAAAACAAATGTTCTTTTAATGTTAATATATGCAGATCATGTCCACTCTAGACCTACGTGCACAAAACAGAGAAGTTGGAAGTTTAGTCAATTTATCGTCCATTATTATCTGATAAACTTACCAGTACTGTCAAATACTGTCTAACAGAATTACATCAAAAAGCAGCAAAAAAATCATCAAGAAATGTAATAAAAAAATGAAAGATAGCATTACCTTTTCCTGAAATTACTTCTTTCTCATGTCGCCATCTAAATCCAAACTGTTAAGAACCAAAATTAATTTGTAAATAGTCAATGTATTCAGTACTAGAAAGAATAATGTCAGTTGATTGATTTCCTGCATGTGGTTCATCCATTTAATTCCAGTCAGAAAATTTAACTTTTTCTCTTTTAATTAAAAATATCTCTCTGTCTCTGCTTGCCAGAATGCTACTTTATTTATAAAAATACTTTAAATATTTTTATTTTCACAGGAAAGCCTCCATACTGGAAAACAACCACAAAAGCAAAAATATTAACATTTCCAAGTGGAAGACAAGTTGGCCTAGAAATCTGGAAACAAAAACAAAAGAATAAAATGTATTCTATTTAATGACCACGTGTCAAACAGATTTCGTTTCTTGGCAATAGGAGACATTTCCAATCTGTTAAGCTACAAAACAAAGCAGAGACAGCAAATAAGAACTTTTCTAGAAAAAATAAGACAACAATGAGAAGAAAACATTTCAAGTCCAATGCATATCAAAGTAAAGCTTAGATGCAGAGCACTCTCCCTTGCTGCATTACAAAACTGACAATAGAACTAAACTATCTGACAATACTGACGGTCATTTATCAGCCTGAAAGCTTGCAGACAAGATGCACTGAAGGTTCAAAGACAACCTTGACCTAAAAAATTCTTATATAGGGAAAATGTAAGGAGTAACAGACCCATCACAACCAACAGCTGTCAGAACACTCTGTCTCTAAGTAGCCTCATACCAGAGGTTCACATTGACATTTCTGATTAAAAGGAAAAGATTGTATGTCCTAACCACACAATGAAAAGCGGGATCGTGGATCACAGGGTCCTCTTTGCCTGCAGTGCCAGCAACCAAGATGAGTGCAGGTGTGCAAGTGAGTGTGAGGGCAGCAGTGAAAACCAAGCCAGACCATCAGCAAGGTGAAGGGCCTGGGAGCAAGGAGGGTGAGCAGGTCTGTACGGGTCAGCTCTGGGTGTGAGAGCACCTCTGTATGTCTGGGGCTGACAGCACAGGGGGTGTGCTGTGAGACCAGAGGAGTCTCAGCCATCTCTGCGCGTGTGTGTGTGTGTGTGCATAACTATGTATGTGTGTCAGTGAAACAGTCGGAGCCAGCAACTGCAATGTGGCTACAGCCTTGGGGGGTTCATATGTCTTAGGGCTTCTCACTGTTTTCTTCTGAGATTCAGCCTTTGACAAGGTGCTCTGCTTATTTTTCAGACCTCAAGAGAGATGCTCCCATGAAACTGGCCACTATCATTGTCCAGTATTTGGGAAAACATTGTTTTTTCTTGGAAGAAAAGTTCCAAAAGAGATCTGAGCTCTGAGATACATTCTATATGCAGAGATCTTTAGAAAAATTCTCTGACTAAAAGATTTTGTTGGAGTAGAACAATTACAGCTGTGAAAAGCCAGATGAGCATGTATGTGCAAATCTCAATCTGTGCAATATATATGTTTAAAACACTACAGAAAACTGACCTCCAACTTTACTTTGACACCATCTAAGCAGGATATAGAACCAATAGAATCAAAGAACAGCCCAGGCTGGAAGGCACCTCAACAGACCACTCTGTTGAACCATTCATGGAAAAAGGGGCAGAGATGAGATTATCCAGCACCCTGTGCATCTGCATCTGCAAAACTTTCAGCCATGGGGATTGTAACATACCACTGGGGAGGCTGTTCCAGTGAATCAGTGTTCCCACTGTAAAAAATTTCTTTCTTATATCAATATGAAGCACCATAATATAAAGCATCAACAACTATCATACAAAACGTTGGCCAGCTAAGAAGCTTGTTATCTACCCTGAACCTCTCATAGCACCAGCACTGCAAAACAGAAGGCACGGGGGGCTAAAGATATCCAACAGTTTCTCAAAATGCAGAAAAAAAAAATCAAGACAGGAAAAATCTGAAAGCACAGACTGCATTCCATTGGTGCTAATGGGATCAGCAGCCTATTTCAGACCTCCAAGAAAGAAGTCTGCTTTGAAATCCTCCTTTACCAAACACAGGCATGGATAAATCAGCAATTGAAAAAAATCTCTTTTATTTCCCATATTTCTAAGAAAAGAGTTTCACATGATCAGAACATATTTGAGAACAGAAAGTATAAATATTTTACAAATTGCATGACACAGCAGTTATGCTGACACGGCAATTCCAAAAATACAGGTAATGACTTAGGTGTATAAATGGGAATTAAGAGTGACCTCAAAGTTAGGGCAGGCACACTTGAAGTCTGACAGGGAAATACTGTTCACATGACACACACACAAAAAAAATCTAGGGCAGAACAGTTTCCCACAAAAGATAACAAACACACAGAAACTTGGCACAGTGGTGAAAGAAACAAAATCTGTAAGCCTGCTCCAGGGAGATCAGCTAGGAGACAGAGCGGACACAGAGCGATATGAAACAGCTATAGGAAAATAAAATAAAATTTACTCGGAAAAAGGAGGGGAGATATCTTCAGCATTTTAATTTTTGTTAATTTTAATTAAATGTTCACATTTTACTGTTCCAATTGTCTTTAGATGACTATCATCTTTTCTGCCTCACAGAGTTAAGCCCAGTTCTTGCAAGTATATACCAATGAATGTAGTTTTCAATACTATAAATAGTCTAAAAGAACTATATAAACACTGTTTACAGCACTGGGTTACTGTGTGTTAACAACACCAAGACACATCTGAGTTTAGCAACACTCTTTTCAAAACCACAATAGAAAATTCCTGTATGCTCTCTGACTAAGAAGTTAGTCAGCCAAACACTTGGAGAAAATAAAGGCTGTTCCAGTTAAGAAGAAAACCTGGTGCTGGAATTGGGCTGTTTCTCTTAAGAAATTCTATTTATTTACAAGGCACATACAGATCCTGTTTCCACAAACAGAAGAAAAAAGAACAACCAGCAAAAGATGCTACTTTAGAATAGACTTTTTCAAAATTGTCTCTGCCAGCATTCAAGTACAAAACTCCTTTGAGACTTTTTTTTAACAGTAACATTCCAGGGTTTTTTAGGCTTCATCTATTGCTCCTCTCCAAGCAACCTCTCTAGCCTTCATTCTTTAACCCCTTTGCATTTTCTGCCTTTTTCACACACAATGTACCTCTTCATAAAACACCATCTGACAGAAATGCTCCTATTCCCACAGAAGCACATTTTTGGGGCAGTGACAATGCTTGGATTCAAATTGCTGCTGCTTATTAAGTAACTTGACAAATTCTCACAACTCTTTCTCTAGGGAAGGGGTACAACATTCTGGTTTCATAACATATCCACAATCATAAGGCAGTTTTTAAAAAGGACATACTTTAAAACCAGTGTGATTTATGATAATTAAAACATACCTTATTCTCTTTGTATCTGCTGAGATCTGCTATGCAGTATTCTTTGAACAATTTATCATAATACTTCTTTGCAAGCCTCTTCTCCCTATAACAAAAGGTATTTTTTTATTAAATGTAGAACATTACAAGTCACTTTATATTGTAATGACATTAGACGTTGTTTCATGCAAAGAACACAAATTGCAGAGAAATGAAACAGATACACACTCATTAAACTAAGGAGTAATTTCCATAAAATTGGAAAAATATACATGAAATAAACCTACAATACATCCTGAACTATGTTTTTCAAACTCTAATTTCTTCAGAGTTTTCAGAAGAGTCAATTGAATCTCAGAGAATGTACAATTATTTATTAGCTTTTCTGTCATCAGCTCATGTTGCTACTTGAGCAATAGTGCAATATGAAAGACTTCCTAATGATCTTTCATTTTCGAATGTATTAAAGATCAAAGAATGATCACTACATATGCACAGTAATTCTTAATTAGTAGGGGACACTACAAATTTAGTACAGGTGATCTAAAAATAACATGTTCTATACTATTTTCAGTACCAATTCATGTCTGCTTCATCTTCTTCATTCCACAGGAATCTATGGTTTTCTCTAATAACATCAAGATCCGTCTTGTCATTTGCTCTACAAAAGGACACACTTGTTTTTAGTACAATGTAAGTTAAAATGAAAAGTCCATCAAATAATAATTTGTAAGCATCAGATATATAAATCACAGTTGTGATTTCCACCCCACAGCACAAAGGAGTTTCGTTGCTATGAAATTTCATTGCTATGAAGTACAATTATCAAAAATGTATTCCTTGGCATACCTGTTCCCAAAAAAACTGAAGGTGGAAAATGGTCACTGAAATTGTGGATGACTTGATCCTATCTGAAAATACTTTTTATACTCTTTATTGAAGACAGTGATTTTAAAAGGCAGTTATATATATATCTCTAAAGAAGGTTATCATTATTCTGGACAATGGATAGTAATTCTGCACATTTCAGAAGTATTTCAGACTGTTATTTTGAAGGTACTGACAGATATTTCTCAATGTACCTTCAATTAATGCTCACCTGTCATCTTTCTTTTTGCAGAACAAAACAAGAATAATTCAGCTCATGGTAAGGTCTTATCTAAAAATATGCAACCAATATGAAACAGTGTAATTTTGATTTTTGGATTTACAATTTACAACTACTGTAGTTACCATTTTTGACCAAAATAATTAGTAATTTCACACACAGTCACATCCACTTCTGCCCCTAAAGCTGTAATACATATTTACCAGTTTGACATAACAAGGGAGCTTTAGGGGCATGAGGGGAAAATTTGCTAATGGTTCTCACCCAGTTCGTCGGAAGTCCTCTATTTTGCCACCATAGTATAAAATGTAGTCATGCACTAACTTTTTATGTCTTTCATACTGAATAAAGCAATTAAGGATTGTTCCAGAACTTATCTTCTTTTGTTTTACCATAGTTTAACACTAAAAAAAAAACCAATAAAAAACACAAAAAAACCACAAAACTACAAAACTTTTTATATACTCAAGAGAAAGACATTTTTGCCTCCCAAACAGTTCAGGAATTTCCAGAAATAACAGAATTAATTAGCAACTTTTACATAATAACCTCTCATAGAAGCTACTTTCCAAATACAGGAATTCAAGGCAATTCAATGTTTCAAACCTCATTTAGCTGCCAGGCCTTTATAAAACTGTCTTACTTTATCAAAGATGCTCTGTACACACATACACAGAAACTTGGTTTATTTCCTCAGCTTAGACAACAACAAATTTAGACAACAGCTTCTTAGTACTGCAGTTTTGGTTTAAAAAGGTTTGTATTTCTGTATTATAAAAATAGTCTGGCTACTAAAATGGAATAATTTATTACATTTTTACCATCAACATACAAATAAGAACTGTATGTTTTAGTTTGGAGATGAAAATCATGGAAAATTACGTAATGCTTTTTAGAACACATAGGCCTCAGAGACATAATTTGAAACACGTTTTGTACCACAATTTGAGCAAAATTTGTAATTATTTATTCAGAAAATAAGCCTGTTCACAAATAAAAACATTATATATGCCTTCTTTTCCAATTAACTTGTATCTCAACAACAAAAAGTAGCTCCTCTGAAGAAGGACTCAGTATCTGGTGCTGTACTGTCACCTGTTGTCATAACTGAGAAATCCCAGTATTTTACCATCATGGATAACCTGTGCCCCATCTTCAAACTTGAAAAAAAATGAAACAGAAGGATACAGCACTCATTGATATCAAGTGAAATCTTCTTTTTCTTGCTTCTTCCCTGTTAATAACAAACATGGTTCAGTGAAAGCTATCTTTTACTTAAGGCAAAAAATGTGTCACAAAACCAGTATATGAAAGATACCTATCGCATTCTTCAGCTGCGAATTGTCTGTGAACCACACCGCCTTGCTTTGCTTTTTGGAATGGCTTTACCAGAAGGCCATCATCCTCTTTTCTAAAGGTAGGTGGGAAAGGGGAAGAAATGTTAGTCAAGAACTTTCCATAAACAATAGAATTTCCATATGCCAAACCTTGCACTAACTTGATTAAGAAAAACTGTTATACTGCTAGTTTCTACATAAATAAAGTAAAACTTCAGAACCAATATCAGCTTGGATTTTACCTCATTTACAAAACAAAATCAGAATGGTAATCACAGGTAGCACATAAAGGAAAATGCTTAAAACAGCAATTTGTAACATTTATTTTATCAATATTATAGAACCACAATGAAAAATCTCCAAAGTTTCCTCAGTTTCACTCTATGTTCAAAGTCCTCTACAAATCTCAGCTGCAAATCTCAGCTACACAGCAAAGTAGGAACAGAAAGGACAGTGTGTTCACTGAATTAGAATGACTGCTAATAACCCTATCCCAACCTTCCATGCCAATGGCCCATCACCTCATTAAACAGCTCTGCCTCTTGTAGAGTAATGACAAGAATCACAAATTTAAAACTCAATTGCCATGTTGTGAACCATACTTGTCAGTAGGTAGCTAAAAATACCTTAAGAATTCAACAAAGTAATAAAAAGTTAACTATAAAGAGATGCATTTTAGCTAGTAAAAGGTATATTTAGTTAGTTTCATTCATGAGTAGAGGTGAAGAAAAGATTTTTCTGTAACTATTAGCTGGCAGAAAGAATAGAAGTAAGAAACCTGAAGAAAGCAAGCCAGAGAATTTGTATTCCAAGCTATGGAATAGAAGTCTAGAAACTAAGGGCATCATTTGCTCAAAAAGCACAACATTCCCATAAGGACACTCCATAAAACAGCAATTTGGAGAAAATTTAAGACTACTATTTTCCTTAAAGTGAAAATAAGTATCAATATAGAGCAAGAAGATATATACATAGAGAGTGAGTGAAATCACATAAAAGGCCTACTGGGAATCAGCATTAGTGTGCCAGAACAAGGATGATGACGGTATTTTTGAAAGGCTCCTGATGGTTAGTTAATATTCCACCTTGAAAGTAGAAGGGTAGAATTTATAATAGCCTTTTAAAGAAAACAAAATCTGAACAAAACCAGTCACTGTTCTAATGGAGAACAGCTATATTTATAAAATAAATGAAACACCACAATGCCTGCTCTTATTCCAATGATTAAAACATGATTTTCTTTCCCAGAATGCAGTCAGACACTACAAAATCCATTCTTTCAATTTTTCTACAAAGAAAAATATGCAAGAGACCCAGCAAAGTTCCCAGAAAGTCTTCTTAAATAAAGTCCAGTAAAAGATCAAGGGAGAGACAGGAAAAAGAAACGTATATGCATAACGTACACCAAATGTTCAGTACGGTGCAGAAAGTGTCAAAGGACTGCAGTGCCAAACCAAAATAAATACATAAATAAATAAAAACCTTTACAATATAATGAAATCAGACTACAAATTTCCAGGTCACTAATTGTGGGAACTACTGAAAGAATAAGCAAAAGTCATCTCAGATAAGAGATGTGCAATTACACTTCAAGGATTGAATACAACACAATTCACCAATTCCCAGGTCTCTTCACAAATTAAATAATAAAGAAGTAGCATTAGTTCTTCACTTTATATCTATATATGTTTTATATCTACAAAGCCTGCTACCACTTGGCCTTTCTTGCCTTGCTCTCCTACCAGTTCCATTTGTCCTGATGGATTCACAGTGAAGTGAACAGTGCTGCCAAATCCCAGCAGTGGATACTAATGCTTGGAAAAACGAAACACTGCTCCGAGAACTGAGGAGGATATAGACACCAGATGGAGATGGCAGAACAGATTCAATCAGCTGCCCCTAGGAGATGACAAGCTTTGGCAAGCTTGACATGAGGAGATCAAGAGAGACTGATTTTTTCAAAAACCATTTCAACACCAGACTTTACATACAACAGCATCATCTTCTAGGCACACTAAGAGGCCATTTGCACAAAATGTGTAATGCAAAGTGTTAATTCTGTACTACGTTACCTTTTAGTCTTTTGCAGAGACTTCTCTCCACTCTCCTCATCACTGAAATCAGAATCATAACCTCCATGGCCACGTGCCTGAAAATAATAGACCAGTCAATATATCTGCTAATGTAACACGGATATGGCATAATTACAAATCAGTACTGTCTATCATGTATAAATAAAAGACAAAGACAGAGAGTAAGCAAAAAAGTGCAAATTCTCACATATGTCTAAACTAAGCCAAATTCAACAGACAATGCAGAGTATATTCCAAACAACACAGGGTAAAGAAAGACACTGTCAGTCTGTCTAAAGATGCCTTTATAAATAATTTATATGCAGATGTCCCCACATTTAATCTTTGTACAGATGCAGAAAACCAGAAGTATGATATATACCTTTGGTTTTTAATTTCAACTAATGTTCCCTATATAAGAAAAAGACGAGTAATCTCCCCAGAAGCTATTCTTCCAAGGGGTTGGAGGACAGCAAACAATATGCCCACATTATAAACAAAGAAAGATGGGAACAAAAGTTTCTTGGGCTGTGGTACAGCATTTTAGATCATTAGATCTTATACTGGTAACCGGAAATCTGATTGAAACAATAACTAAAATACAAACCAACAATATGCCTGCAAAAACATACCACCTAATCAGCACAACATTCCTATCAGGAAATGTAGTCTTTTTTTTCCACACACTTTGGGACTACAATGTCAAATTAATGCCTTCAGCAACCAAGCACTGACTAAAGCCCAGATGTAACATCTCCGTCTTTCAAGGTACAGTTCTATGTTCAATTCCTTCGGCAGAAGTAATGGCTTAAGATCCCATCTCCTCTCCCTCACTCTTACTCTGGTACCTTCCTCCCAGTTGCTCAGTTACAGGTGTGAAACTACACCCACATTACAAAGGAACCTATCAAAAAAAGATTATTTTAACCCAGGTAAGTTTCCTGACAGTTCATCCAGAGCCCCTGCAACCAGCTACACTCGCCAGCTGAAGGGGTAGCACAAGGGAGAGTGCAGCCAGAGCTGGGAACTGCATAAACCAGCACAGACACCAAAAAAAAGCTTTTACACAACTGAGGTAAAAACAAGAGGGGTGGTTATTATATATCTGCATGTGGAAAAGCTCAAACACACACTACCTAAATATCTTGGTAATTCAGATTGTGGATGAGAAAAGGAATGTGTTTGATTCAGCTGAGTCTCACATTACGTACAATCCTCCTCCTCCTCACACAAAAAGCTGAGAAACAAAACTCTGCAAAAAAGACACATCTCTTCAGGATAATTTTGATGAGGTGCCTTCTCTTGATGCAAATGCCTCCCAAAAATGCCATGCTGAAGAGTGAACCATATCCTCTACTGACATCAACAACTGATTTGTATCATGCAGAGTCCGTAAAACACTATCTCCTCAAACTGACAGTTAAGGATTGGGTTTAAGATTTTTTTAAATTTTTTTCTTATTATTGCTAATAACAAACTAATACTGTAATGTTCCTTCCACTCTTGAACTCTTCTGAAGAACACATAGCTTGCATATAAATATATATGTGAATAAAAGCAAACCAGAACTTTTCATTTGCCTTTATGCTTTCTATTTCCCAAGAAACATAAAAATTATCAGTTACCAGACACAAACAAAAGTGTAGCAGATGTCTGGTGTAAGTAAGTGGTTGTCATGCACTGGCAAAAGAGCAGCAATGGTGCTAAGTTCCATAGCTGAGGTGGTTCTAATAGCTGGCCTATCACTATTTTTATTAATGAAGCTCATGTGGTCTTTAGCAAAGGCTGAATACTCTAAGAGTGTGCAGAAAATATATTTATATTTGGCCTCTAAATTAAAAAAATATCATGGTAAACCGGGAATGGTTTAAATAGCAAAAGTAATGCTTCCCAGATGAACACTGAGAGCTTCCTTCACACTCAAAAGGGAAGAAGGTCCCAGCCAACACAATGAGCATGAAAGTCAACATGAGACAGATGAAGTATAGAAACAGGCAAGAAGAGGAATGCTCAAATGAAAGGAGATTTTCACAAAGTAATTGACCTTGGACGATGCGCCCCAGGAAAGAAGCAGATATCCTCGGTAATCAGCTCTCAACTGACTCCAGGAATGATTCAAATAAAAAGAAAAAAAGATGCAAGAAAAGCTGCTCCGACAGAGTCATACTGTAGAGCTCTCAGCAGTTGATGACTGCCTTTTGAAAAGTTAACTGTGAATATAAGGGTAAGTATGGCTAAGGCAGGTATAGGCTGCTCTTCCAACAGGAAAACTCTCCACAGCTTCAGACATTCCTCTGAATCACTACAATAGCTCACAGATAAATTCCTCCTTCAAAGGCAACAGCAGATGGGCAGTACTGCACTGAAGCTGGGTTTGGCATCAGCAGCTCCAGCAGTGCCGGATGGCACTCCTGGAGACTGGGACTGAACAATTACTGACCTGGTGCCTTAGGATGATACCAAGATGACCTGACTTTTAGGTAAGACAAGAACTCCATCAAAGAATCTCATCCATAAATGAATTTTCCATTTTGGAAGGTCTATGTAAGCACACACCTGCTTCATATTGTAAAATTTAATCCAGATTTCTTCCCTTCTCCACAAAAAAAAAAAAAGACAGAGAAGAATCCCAGATAAAGCAAATGTTTTTAATATGTAACTATAGTAAAAAGGGGCAGATACCAAAGCTTTGTGCCCAAGCTAGCAGATGTAGATATGGGCATGCAAAATTGTCAATAATATTTAAAATGAGTATTTTCATTATTTAATGAACCCTTTAATACAAACTCTGCTTTGATGGAATTTGTCAGAGATTCAGAATGCTTTTAGTAATTTATTAATGTAAATACCAAATATTTTATCAAAATGCAAACCTGAAAGGTATACAACTTAAATGCTACAGTGTATTTTGTTTGTTGCATGAACTCTGAACTTTTTATTCCCAAACAACAAAACAAACCAAAACCACAAAATTAAAACAAATACCTTTATGCTTTGGGGTACATTTAGCTCACATTTAAGTAATCCCAACATCTTGGATTAATTAATAGTGAAACAACTAGAGACAGAACAGAGTCCACTTAACTTAAGAGTCCTAAACCCCAGCAATTTAAACACAGTAAACGTATGAATGCTGTACACAGCTGACAGCAGGCAGAGATATCAACTCTTGATTTCAAAACAGGACACTACAGATTCCCTAGCACTGCATTTACAGCAGGTATTTGCATCCAAAGAAGGCACCTCCCTTAAGCCTCTTCAATGAGGTAGATGCACACTAGTGAAATGGACACCTCATAGTTCATGTTGGCTCCTGACCACAACATACACCTGAACACAAAAAAGCAGTTAAAAAGAATAAAAAGTCAAAAACAATCCTAGACAAAAAATTCCCAACTCATGGTTCCTGACCTCGGCCCTAATCTTGCTACTCCTGTCATAAGCGTCACTCTCATCCTCCCCTTTATCTGCCCAGCACACAGGTCTGTGCTCGTGTCTGCTCACAGCCCAGATGTGGCCCAGAACAGGCCTGAGTGCGTTTTGGTACGAACTACTCTGGGAAGGACTGAAGGGATCTCTACGGGGGCTTGAGAAGCCATCCTATCTGGATAGAAGGTGCCATGTGGAAAGTCAGAACGCTTCCCTGCAACACTTTCTTCCCACACTGATGTCTATGAGGCTTTGTAATCCCTACTTGGAGAAAAAAAAAACCTGATAGTAAGTTCAATTACCTTTAAATCTACTCTTCCTTGTAAAATCAACTGCAAGGAGTGCTTGCATATACTGTACAGTGAACGGCCCCGACAAAGAAAAAAGGCACCCACAAGATACTGCCCCTCTATTAAAGCTATGATAGAAGAAGCAGGAGTAAAAGGTAGCCATCAGAAGACCATGACAGCGAGCATTAGAATTTTGTGGAGCTCCATGGAGAAAAGTCACGGCGAACACCACCAGCCCGTGGGGGTCCGACGCGGCTTTGAAGCCGTCCTCATGCTCCGCAAGCCGCCCAGCCCTGACCCGGCCCGCCTGACCCGTCCCCCCCCGCCGGAGCAGGGTAGGGGCGCAGACTGCCGGCAGTCCGCCCGGGGAGGGCGGCTTGGCCCTTCCCCGCCCGCCCGGCCCCGCCGCCATGGAGGCCGCGGCCTCTGCCGGGCCTGTCCCTGCCGGGTCCCCTCCGTTCCTCCCCTCCCTCCTGCCCCACTCACGGCCGCGGAGAGGCGCAGCTGGTTGGGCTCCATGGCGGCGGCGGCGCGGCCAGGGCCGCCTGCGCCGCCCAGCCCTGCTCCCGGAGCCGGCGCTGCTTCGCGGGCCGCTCCCGGAAAGCGGGGCAGAGGCGGAGCGCGCCCACGCCGGGAGCTCCCGTCCCTTCCCTCCTCCCTCCCTCTCTCTCTCCGCGGCGGCGGGCGGCGCGGGGCAGCGGGGCGCGGGGGAGGGCGAGGGCGAGCCGGCACGGGAGGGGAGGGGAAAGCCGCTCATCATGTTTAGGGGCGAGGGGAGTCTCTCTGCCCGGGAACCCGGTGCGCGGCCCCGGCTGCCGCGGTCTCCGCCTCTGGGAAGGTAGGACTCAGCCGCGGGGGCTCGGAGAGGCCTCGGCGCGCCCCTCTCCTCCCCGCCCCGGTTCGCCTCCGCACCACCCCCAGCTCTTTCGGGTAGATCACTCCCCACTACGGGGGGCTCCGGCTCAGATCCCGCTGCGGGCACCGGGGCCCGGCGGAAAGGGTCGCTCGGGAAGGGTCGCTCGGGGGGGGTCGGCGTTCTGGAAGGGACCCCTGAGGGAGAAAGGGCCCCCCGGGGCGGAGGGGCCCGGGAGGCGCTCGGGGCGGGCAGCATTGCCAGGCGTGCCCGTGTCGTGCGGGAGGTGCGCGCTGCCCCCGGCGCGGCTCAGCCTGGGCACGGCCATCGGTAACTCCGAATTCTGCTTTTCGACCCCATCTCGCAGTTAGGAGGACGAAATGTGACCCAGAACGTACATGACCCAGTTTCTCTGTGAGGACCGACGGCAACTGGGCAATAGAGTTTTAGAGCCTGTGGGTTGTATCAGAGAAGAGCTTTATAAACTAACAGTGTTTTCTGATAA